GCAGCTGCTGGAGACAGCGCCCTCTCCTCTCGCCCCCAAATGTAGCTGCTGAAAACACTTCACTTTCGCAGTCCCATATTTCCAGGGGCCTCGTCATGAGAAGCCGCCCAAGCCGTACACTCAGCCGACCCTTCTAAATTTCTGTCCTCACACTTCTAGGTGACGCGTTTGTTGCTCCTCCTTGACCGGGGCTGTCATGGTGCCAGGAAGCCGAGGGTGCGGCTGTGTCACGGGGTCTCGACCGCTGCCCCCCCGTTTCCGTCCGTGGCCGCCCACGGAGCAGTGGTGCCCGCTGTGTGACGCCCAGTCTGGAGTGCAGCTTTTCCCTCCTGTCACCCTCTCGGCCCTTTATAATCGTGGCGTGAGCCGCATAGGAGTCGTGCTGTTCACACGTGGCCATTTATACGAAGTTCTTCGTCTAGGAACGAGGCCCAATTTCACGGGCTTAACAGATGTGACGTGTGGCCCGTCGTTTTCGATAACTTGCAGCCCCTACGCCCGAACGTTGCGTTATTTGAACTAGTCGGTGGAAAACAGGGCTGGAAGCATCGGGGATTCGGGCTGGCCATCATCTGCATGCTGGGAATTCGCTCGTGGCCGTAAACCAACCCCCAGTCTACACTGGAGGGGCTGAGACCGAGAGAAGTCGAAGATTCTCTAGGTTGTGCCCAGTGCACGGTGGGGGGCGGGCTTAGAGAGGAAGGGGAGATGTGACCTTGTCCTCCAGACATTTCTAACTTCACGGGAAGAGATGGGATGCCACATAAATGCCTATTAGAAGCAATCGGAGTAATTACAACGTGAAGCAATTGCGCTTCATTACAGGTACCCCGATAGCTTGAAAATTCACTTCCAACCACACAGGAAGGAAGGAGTTGCTGCGAGGTGAACGCAGGCTTCCCCCAGCTCTGGCTCGTGACCCCCCGTCTCCTTCCTGCCACCGCGGTTCTGCGGGACGCCCTCGTTACACCGCGGCTGGCGTGACGGAGGAGCCCAGAGGAACAGGAGGGCTCAGCGGCAGCTGCCGAATGATTAGCCCGCGACCACGCGCGCGTCGACACGAGCGCCCCCTGCAGCGTAACGAGGAGAGACAGAGCGTTTTTAAGAGTTTTGTTATATTTCTCTCCACTTCCTAGAATGCAGCGTTGACTCTTTCCATACGACCCTGATTTCTTTTCCTAAAGAACGAATATAGAAAGTGATCGTCTGATCTCCGTCAGCACGAATACCGTTCGGGAGCCAATAACTAAGAGAATGAAATTATGAATTAAACAATTCCACGTTCTCCGAGGGAGGCATACGCATCAGAGGACGAGGCCTCTCATCTGAAAAACGACCGTCTCGTGACTGGGAAAGTTTAAACACGTACAGAAAATCAGGTGACAGCCTTTCATGAAAGGAAAACGTGAGCTTTGAGCGTCAGCCTTCCGTTTGTGGACGATCTTCCAGGCACAGACTGCGGAAGGTTTTATTCATCGCTAGAGACCTGAAGGTAGAGTACGATGGAATAAGCACCCCATTTTTCTCCTGGAGGTGATTGATATTCCAACGAGTCCTCCACAGTGCTTTAAACTGAAGTGCACATTGGTTATCAAAGCCCTTTGCCACAGGGTTGTTTTACCTAATAACAAAGTTCACAGAACTTCCTCCAAGGAAAATATTGATTCAGGCAGCGGCGCGGGATGTTTCGGCCACAGCGTCACTTTGGATCAGTGCTCCAGACAGCACAGGAAAAAGCTCTCTGAAGCTGGCATTGCTCCAGTAAGAACTGTAGGCAGCGTATCTTTTCTCGGCAGAAAATGTATTTAAAATAGAAATTTTTAATAAAAATGGCTCTATTTCCTCTATCGTTTCTCACCCCTACTAACTTGAAAACACCTGTGGGAGAATCTGCAGGTGCCAGGTAGGCAGGCGGTGGGACGAGCAGCAGGAAACGACCGCTGGGTCCTGGGCCTTCGCTCCGTGCCAGTCGCCGTGCTCCACGGGCTCTTAGCCGTCCCCTGCCCCAGCGCAAGGAAGCCAGCACTGTCCTCGTTCATAAACCAGAACAGCGAGGGGACAGAGATCTGAACGGCGTTCGCCCCCCTCACCTGCGACGCTGGAGCTGCTTCCCGCATCCGAGTCCGACGCGCCTTCCTCCCGTCCTCCCCCGGGACACCCGCAGCAGCATGGGGGTGTTTCACAGCCGGTCCGTGCCCAGGCGGCCTCAGGTCAGCGGTCCTGGGACCAGGCCTTGGTGGCACTAAGATGGAGACCGTCGATGGCACCACGCTCGCCCCCAAGACCCGGGCTGAGACCTCGTTCATCCATTGCTACCTGCCTGTGTGGCCAAGGAAAATCCGTTTGCCCCTTGAAACTTCGTGTCCTCATCTGGGAAGTGAGGAGGTCGGGTTCGATCAATGGCTTTCGAAACTGTGTTATTTATTTTTGTAAAAGTGAAACTTCAGCAGAGTCTTACGTTTATCCTGACGGATAAAACGGACGCAGGTAGCACTCCACGGCCAGGAGCAGAGGCTGGGCCGGGGGACGAGGCGGCTAGTCCACGACCCAGGCCCCTCCAGGCTCACCTCATCCCCAAGGGGCTCCGGGGGCACCGGAGGCCGGCAGACACAGCTGTCTAACTGGACTCTAGTTCATCTCTAAGTTCACCCAGTTCTTACATTCTGTGATTTGAAAAAAACATTCATAGCCACAGCAAAAGGGCATTAGAATCACATTGGAATGGACCCAAGCTCAGAGCTGATCATTCAGAAAACAGAGATGCTACATGGAAAAGAATGTAACCAGCGCCCTGGCCGGGGGTGGCTGGGGACGGCCGGGGACGCCGTCCACGGTGAGACTCTGAAACTGGGTCCCGAAGCAATGCACGAGTTGGGCTTTGTGATCGTGGTTTCAAAATCAGCTCGTTTAATGGAATACGAATATTATTTTAGCCCGATGGTGTTATCCCATTGATTTATTTCCTTAAAAGCTACTCGATACTGAGGTATAGACTTTCAGTTACTACCTAGGTATTCCTGATCATTAGCATCGAAAGGCTTTTTGTTTTCCTTTTGTCCAAATACGAGTTTTACACAAATTGCTCCATGGTCCCTAATTCCATCGCTGCGGCCACGGGCTTACAGACGTCACTCGTGGATCCGCGCAACGCACCGTCACGGTCCGCCAGACCCCAGCCCGCCTGCCTCCGCCACGCCTGCGGCCTCGGCCGCGTCACTTACCTGCCTCCGCCTTCTGCTGCTTCTCGATCTTCTCCAGGCGCCCTAGCAAGGAGTCGATTTTGGTTTTGATCTGGGTTAGCTCTTTCTTGATCGTCTGTAACTCGTCTGATTTCACTGGAGAGGGGAAAAGGGACAGAGAGGGACAGGAAGTCAAAGGCACGCGACTCACTTACAGCGACTTCACAGACGGCCCGCGTTTTCTCGAGACGGCGCCACTCCCTACGGGACGTCCAGCCTCGTCAGGCCCTCAGGGCTTCCGGCGACCCTGGGACCCGGGTGACTTGGCCAACTACAAACCGTGTCTGTCCGAGCTGTGAGCGGTTGGCACCACCTCTGCTCACTGGAGAGTTTGCAAAGGGACAGCGGGACCTCGAAGTGTCTTATAAATGAGCAAATGACACCGGACGCAGCTCTGGCACACGGGAGGGCGGACCCGCAGAGCAGGGGGTCCCGGCCCGGCGGGCGCGTGATGCGGCTCTCGGGCTACACCGTGATGCGCGTTCGAGTCGGCGATGTTTTCAATCCGTTCTTCGGTGATTGATCGGGACTGGGAAATACCGTGCACCGTCTAAGGAACAGTCTTAGACGCCGGAGAACTTTCTCCAGCGTAGGGAGCGCTCGGGCTCTGTGTGGCCTGTGCCTCTCTAAGCTCTGGGGCTGAGATTTTCCACAGCAATGGCTCAGGCCCCAGGTTTTCACTGTTCAGTATGGTTTTAAAAATAAAAAAACAAATGGGGCTGACAAAAGACGGACAACTTTTCACGTCGTCACGCGAGTCCGTTCAAAACGACAACCAGCATCCTCCTAACAGCTATGATAATTCTAAAGAAAAGGGCTTAAAACGACAGTCTCACATTTACGAAGCACGCCTGTAAATGAGACACATTTATGAAAACTTCTCCACGCTCTCCTTATCTTCCCGTTTGGATGGGCCGTTGGCACGAACCCATGATGACGGAGCCGGAAGGTTTTAAAGCTGTCACCGCGGAACGGCCGCTCCCCCCCGCGGGCTTGCCTCACGTGGGTTTGGGGGTGTCTGTGTGAAGCCTGGGGCACACATCTCGAGATCAGCAATTACTCCTCTCTCTCACTTTCCGGTTCAAATTTATAATAATCTCAGCTTGGACCTTGCCCAGGAATTTCAGAAGAACCTGAGTGTCTAGCTTGATTCTTCCGTTTCCAAGAAATTTATTATAAACAAATAATAATAAGAAAACGCAAACCGTGTTGGCTTGAAATAGAGCTATTTGTCAGCTAAGATACATGATATAATACATATGATAAATGATGCATCCATACGGACTAATTGCTCAAAGGAAGAACAGATTTTTTTTTTCCGGTATAAAAATGAGAAAACATTTTCCATTATAAAGTCATAAATTTTTCATAAGAAACGCATTTTTTTACTCGTGATGCCAAGTGGTTGGCAAAGCAAGACCTGGAAGGGTCAGGTGGCCCGTGGGGCTTTCCCAGTCCGGTGGACCACGTGGAAAGCAGGGCCGAGGTAAAGGCAGGGAGAGCCGCCCCGGCGCCGACGGCTCCAGACGCAGAAGCGCCACCCGTGCACGGCAGCGAAATTCGGAAAACATCGTCTGTCGCCACGGCGGACGGACTCTGCTTTGAGGAACGATTTTCCTTCCTGGTGCTGAAAGCACGTCGTGGAGTGTACTTCAACCTGTCAAGCTTAATGGGAACTACTTTATCGAGTAGCCTTGGCTTTCGGGGCAGGAGAAATGGGGCCGTGGCTGGGAAGTGACAGGGCAGATGCCTTAGTGAGCGGAGCCTTCTCAGTGCAGGAGGCAGTTCGCTAATTTTAACGTATTTATCTCCCTTAAAAAAACATAAACAAACAAACTGCCGGCGCCTCATTTTTGGGAACTGCACACACATCAGCGAGGGATCGGGCTGGCCGGGTGGGAGCGGGCGCGGGCCCCGTGGCGTGTCCCTGGACGTCCAGATCCCTCGGGGGCTGCACGGATGCCTGAGATCAGAGCAGGTCACTACACAATGGGGGTCCGATTGCGCCACACAAAGATGTAACGGGCGGGTCCTGTCCCTCTGTCCCGGCCCCACAGGACATGGCCACCAGGCTGCGGCCCTGGGCGGGCAGCCGCCCCGTCTTGGGACAGCAGTGGCAAGCTCGAGCAGGTGGGGACGAGTCTGTCCCCTGTGCCTGGCTTCCCCGGGCCGAGCCACCGCTGTGTCCGAGGGGCTTCTCTCTACTCGTCTCTACCTTTTTTCTACTTTTTTTCTTCTTTTTTTTCTGGCCTCTGTAACGAATTTCTCCACTGCTTGGCGGGTTGTATTAATTCACTGTTTTTACTTAGTCTATGAAAACAGATATGTCTTTTACGACAGACTTCTAAACGTGGAACTTTTAAAATCTCTGCAGCTTTGATTTCTGATATTTTCCCCAAACAGGAAAGTTAGTTCAGAATTAAGACGGGCCTTAGGTCCAAAGCGTCCCCGTCCCTTTTCATGGCATTTCCCACTGGGCCGCTGGATGGCACCCTCCAAGCGATGTGTCTAAGCCATATGCCTTCCCCTCCGCAACTTCCAGGACGTCCCCGTTTCTACGGGAAAAGGGCCGGAAACCACGACGCACGCACAGACCAGCTCCAGAGCTGGCCTTCGGCGTCCGCCCCGCAGCCGGCTCCAGGGGTGTGTCATTCTGTTTCTTTCCAAAGCTCACTCTTCACTTGAACAGAGCAGTCACTGCTAGTCGAAGAGTGTGTGGATGCTGTCGGACCGCGTTCACCTCTGTGTCCCTCGGGGGCCACCTGCGTCACCTCTGTGACTGCCATCCACCAGCTCCGAGGCCCGTTACGAGGAGCGGCTGAGGCAATCACATGAAGCCCTCAGCACCAGCCCACGGCACCGTCAGGCCAATAAATGCCAAAAGCAGACGACACTGCCATTGCCACGGCGATCACTGTTGACACGCCTATCCCAGCGAAGACGCACTGTCTCTCCCGAATACGTCCATCGAACCCCACACGCCTCTCAGGGCTCATTTTAAGTCCTGTCTCGCCTACGAATGCTTCTTCCACTCACTGCAGGAGCCACGTCTCCCCTGCCATCTACCTAACGTCACCTCCCAGTCCCTGCCGGTCACGCACGGCTTGGAGATTTCACCTTTCGTGTCTACTCTCCATAGTAAGCCGTAAGCTCCTTGCGAGTGGGGGTCTGATGGGCACCGAGGAATTCTGGGGCTACGCTTTTGAACGATTCCCGTGTTCGAAGAAGCTCCCTCTCCTCTCACTGACTGACGAGGCATCCGGGCTCTGGGGTCTGTCCCCCCTAATTAAAAGCGATGGTCACAGGTTTCAGGAGAGACCCTGACTCAGGTTAGGCCCTAATGGGAATTTTCTATCTTCTGATCGTACACCAGGTCCATGAGAAAGCGTTCGGATTCCTGGGTAGAAATTATTCTGATCTCTGACAATATAACATTTTGAAACGAAGGAATTTTTGATAGTTGTCTGAAGCAAGACATATTAATGGATTTACCCATCAGGTAGAGCAAACTCTCCGAATGGAGAGGGGTATCAGTGCTTTCTTTTGTCCTTCCTTCCTTCCTTCCTTCCTTCCTTCCTTCCTTCCTTCCTTCCTTCCTTCCTTCCTTCATTCCTTCCTTCCTTACTTACTTCCTTCTTCTCTATTTCTCTTCTTTCTTTTTGTCACTGGAATGTCAAGGAAAATTAATAAGTATCCTCAGCTCTGATTAGATTCAGG